TACTTCAAAAACAAAACAAATCGCCGAGATTCTCTCAAACCACTTCAAAAATTATTTCAAAAACAAAACATAAGTGGTCCTCGATATTCTTTCAAATTACGTCAAAAACAAACCTAAAGGGGGCTCCGAGATTCTTTCAAACTAGGGACTTCAAAAACAAAAAAAAGAGAGTTCCCCGAGATATTTTCAAACTACTTCAAAAATCAAACATTTTGCCTTTTTTTCTTAATATTTGGAGACTTAATTCGACAACAAGAAACTTAAAACATGTCTACAATGAATGAATTAAGTTGAGACCTATAATATAATTCTTACCCTTCTTTTTATTAATATACATAGCCATTTTGCCTTTTTGTTTTAATATGTCTAGACTTCTTTTCACAACATGAAACTTAAAATATGTTTAAAATGGTAGATTTTTGGAAGGAAATATGGATTTTGCAATTATGGAGCGGAGCCTAATTGCAAAATCGATATTTCCTTATACAAATTTTCCATTTTAAACATATTTTAAGTTTCACGTTGTGAAAAGAAGTCTACACATATTAAAACAAAAAGACAAAATATAAGCCCGCCCACCCGCCCTATCTCAATTGTGATGATTTTTTTTTATTCGGCGTTAACCAAGAGAGCGGAGCTTAACTGCAAAATACTTATTTCTCTACAAGAAAATAAAAACATGTTTTTGAGTATCGCTTGTTCAAAGAATGCCATGTATATTAAAAAAAAACAATATAATATACTCAAAAACAATATTTTAATTTCTCGCACGACGTAATTTGGCGCACGACGAATAAAAAAAATCATCACAATAGAGATAGGGCGGGTGGGCGGGGCTACATTTTTCCTTTTTTTCTTGGAATGTGTAGACTTATTTCTGCAACAAGTAACTTAAAACATGTCTAAAATGGTATTTTTGTAGTAATCAACTTAAATTCTCCACTTTTCCAGCAACTGCATTGAGAACTTCAACGTCAACAGCAAGTTTATAAATCCCACTTAATTTATTTACGTTCACAAGGAGATTTCACGAATCATTATAATAAAAACTAAGTACCTTTGCTGACCGTTCATTCGTCAATTTTTATGACATTATTTTAATTAAAATAGAACAGTCAGAATGCGAGCGCAGCGAGCACGTTCAGGAGTAATTTAAATAAATATTGATTGTTGTCCCTGAGAAGGTAAATTATTAAGAATAATTTTCTTGTTATTTAAAAATGTGAGTTTAACGATTGTTTGTTCTTCCAGAGACGTTATATAGTGATCACAAAGAATCTTTAAATTGTTATTTTTAAATAGCAACAAAAATGTTCATTAATTTAGCTTCTCAGGGACACCAATAAATAATTTCTTAAATTACACATGAACGTGCTCGCTGCGCTCGCATTCTGACTGCTCTTTTTTAAATAATTTAGTGTCAAAAACAATTACGAAGGAATGGTCAATAAGGCTACTTACTTTTTACTATTATATTTGTCAAGATCTCCCTGTGAAAGTAAATTACTTCGAAAAAAATATTTGTTTCAAATGCGAGCGTAGCGAGCACGTTCAGGATGTTTTAATCCCAAAGACATTAACATTTAGTGATGACAAGTAATCTTTAAACTCCTGAGATTCTTTTAAATTACGTTAAAAACAAAACAAAAGGGATCCCCGATATTTTTTCAAACTACTTCAAAAACCAAATACAAGTGGTTTCTTTCAAATTACTTTAAAGACAAAATATCATAAAATACAATTATCAGTATCGAGATTATTTGTAATTAAGTTTTACCCACTTGAAGGGAGGGGTTATACGATACTTCAAGCTTCACATCGAAACTGAAGGACGGACTGTTGCAAGTAAGCAGGATTCATAACTCAAGCGAAATAAATATCTATTATTGACTGCTCATTTAAAATTGTTGCCGTTATTTATATCATCACAAAAGAAAGCTAACGTAACATCAACGAATAAATTAAGAAAGTAACAATTTATATTAAATGCATGTCATTAACATACGAGAGAAAAGGCAAAGGGTCACGGACACCACCCTGCGGAACTCCAGAAATATTACCAATTCCTACCAGTCGAAAGCTTTTATGTTTCAGAAAATGCAATTACCCGAATCCTTAGTTGAAGAAGACCAAATCTGTAACATTTCCTATCGAAAAACCTGTTTTAATGTGTTAACTTTTTAATTTAAGGATAACTTGAAGCTCGATCGTAACTTGTATGGCTGCCAAAATAAATTCAAAATTTATATATTTTTTTTCTGATAGTTTAGTTCAAAATAATCTCGTGTCATTTTCCCCCACTCTCCACAACTTTATAAACTCTGCCCTGTCTCATGCCCAACCGCCCATAATGGCTGTTTGTCTCACATCCAAGACCAGATGTGGATCATGGCTAAGCTAGGGTTGAATCGAAATAATCCCACCTTAATCCACATGGTAGATTAGACAATTTGAATGTGTCGATCAATAGGTTTGACAGTTGTGATGTAGGTCGAAACGGATTAAAGACTCGTCCCGAATTCGTAAATCTGATCGAAAAAAATCGATTTCGGTAATCCAGAAATGGCTCCATATATGAATATTATTTTCAACAAAAGACAGTTTAAAAGGGTTCACTCGGAAAAATCTGTAGCGGGTATTGAGAAGTTAATGTGTAAAATTGGGCGGTAGTTTTCAAGAAGCTTAGTTCAATCCAGCGGAACTCGCCAGGACCTCCCCTGAAAATCGAGACCATAATAGCCAAATTTCAAAAATATGTATTAATATAAAAACACAATTTTGTACAATGTGTAGTGAAATTCTAAACTCCCCCACCATTCAGATCTCAGTTCAATAACGTTGTGCCATTTGCAATATTCGCGCAAGGTTTTAAAAACCGTTAATTAATTAAAATCGAATATGTGTAGGATTAAGCGAGATCCAAACGCGATGGATAAAGTAATTAGCACGATGAGTTATCCAAAGCACAGCAGCTTTGCGGCAAAGTTGACGTTGCCAGGATAAACTTTCACAAATCCCCTTGTGACGGCCAGACGCGACAAAAGTCCCGTTAATTCGTTAAAATAAAAGTTGGAAATTAAATCGCACCTACGAGGGAAAAATTTAAAAAGCAACTGCAGTGTTTTGAGGCTGCTTTAATCTCCATGTTAATTAAAATGAAAAATATCGGCACATGTGTAGCGTTTTATTATAACATCCATTCCGGTTGGCCAGCCTTTGTGGAGAGCCTGTCAGCCCATATCGATTACAAACAGTTTAAGAGCACAATTGATAATCCCGTGTTTGTTGACAGGCCTCTGGTGGGTACCTGGTCGGACCCCACACGAGGAACACACCTTGGAAGCGACCTCCGACAGGCCACACCACAAAATATCGAAAAGAGTGGCAGAATTACACACAAAATTAAAAAAAAATCAAAAAATCTGGGCCCTTGTTACGTAATTTTCCTTCACCTTTGTTTAACTGTCACAATATTTGCCACGATGACCGGGTCTTTTTGTTTCGAGTAACCCAACACCGGTGGTGAATTGGTATGGGTTGTTTGCTCTGACAATTTTCACGGCAACTTGATTCTAATTGATGCTGGTCTATCATCCATGTCCTTTGAACAAACACTCGAAGCAGCAGCTGCGTGCGAACATCTCCAAAAAAAAAGACAAATTGCCACATTCGAACTACTAGAAATTTCAGAAAAGCAAATATTTGTTGACTTGTTGTTGCGATGACTTTTGAATTTGTCGTTTTACGGCATCGAAAATAAAGAAGTCCCTTCTGTACGAAATAACTCAATTTAAAAACCCCATTTCGCGATGGAAACAAGAATTATTTGTCGCGTGGAATAGAGGGAAGTGGTCGCAATTTTGTTTATTTAATGAGTTTAGTGCGCATTGGATATCATTAAAAAATTAATTAACGGGGTTTTTTTACCGACTGGGTGTGTATTTTATTGTTTTCAAATCATTATAAAAAATTGTGTGGAATAACATGTTGACTTGATTGGTGATTTTATATTTTTGTGTTTTTTTAGTGCGAACTCTTCATAATGGGAAGTTTTTTAATTATGGAAAAATATAAAATTATTGATTGGCAGGGTTGGACTGCACGCAATTTTTCAAGTCTGTGCTGTCACTGACACAGACTTTTAGGGGCTCCTTTCCTAATTAAAACGATTTGTTTACAGAGGTTACGAGGGACTCCTACATAATTGCTGCTTCAAATTCAGGCTCAAAAACTGGTGGACCCCAGGTTCGTTGTTACACGGGACAACGGTTTATGTGTGTTTAAGTTAATGCGATACAGGAAGCCAAACAAAATAACCAGTTGATTATCTCCGAAACCATTTAAGTAATTTAATGTAGTTTGTGGTCTTGAGGCCAAAAATAGGGAGATGTGTGGAGGTAATTAGGGAATTAGACAAAAATCAATTTTTTTGCACGAGTTGTGCTTCAGAGACGAGGTGCATTCGTCCACTCTGTGTTATATTTTTACATGATGATTTAGTACGAGCGGAATTGTTATGAATAATGAAATTATAATATTCGTTCGGTCAAATTTGCGGAAAAGCATCGGAATACGCTAATTAATAGATTAATTAGTTTTGCCACAATCAACATTTACTTTAATAATTATTGTCACTAAAATAACGAACCATGTTTAAATTAGTTTAGCAGCACAAATTCCTGCCGGAAAATGACGCAGGTACACACACATTATTTTTAAGTGTTGTCCTTTAATGATCGATTGTTATTAAAATTAATTTTAACTTTAGTAATAATTTATTGCGTTGATCATTATGTTTATTATGCTTTGAAAACAATTAAATATTTATTAGAACGCATATTAAAACGTTATTTTTAATAAAACAGATGTCATTTCATTAATTCATTATAGAAAATTGGAAATTTAATTACTACAGTTATTATTATTATTTTTTTAAATATTTTATAATTAGGAATTTACAAGTATAAGTAGGTGGTGGGAGTGTAAAAAAAAATAAAGGCTACGAAAATGATATTTTTATTTTGTCATATTTATCTTACAGTTATTATAGTATTTAACATTACTAGCATGGTAAAAGGGTTTTTACTGGCGGACAGAAGGATATGACTGGCGAGCCGCAGGTGAACCAGCACCTTCTGGAGCCAGTAAAAACCCGTTACCTTGCGTGTATTGTTCAATATTTTATGTTTGACTCAATCATAACGATGCCATTTATGACACTTCCAACTGTCCATAATCTTCCACTTTATTGGACTGTAAAGTAATTTGGACTGCAACACAATTCATATGACAGTGACAACAGCAATGTCTACTGAAATTTATTAATGATTTTTAAATGGGAATGAAAAAGTTTCAAAAAATTTGTTTTCTGTTGAGTCAAACATAAAGCTATGTATGTCACATGTACATAATGCTTTTTATTGGACTTGCCCTTTTATTAGCCTCGCTCGGTTTGCTCGCTCGGCCATAAAAGGACGCGTTCAATAAATCTTTGCATTATGTACTAGTAACATAAATAGCTATTATTTGTTTCTCACTTGTAAATAACTATTATAAATTATTAAAAACTCTAGAAGTCATTTCAACTTATAAGAGTTTAAAATGTTTAAAATACATGTTGAATACAGTGAGTTGGTAAATTGATGTTTACAAGTGAATAACAAATAAAATATGTGATTTGCAAACTTCGGCATCGCGGAAGTGATCCACATTGTCGTCCTATCGACACCGCTATTGCAGTCAGGAATTTTAAAACTTTTAATATTTGCCTGGTGGATTCCACATCACTTCAGCGATGCCTAACTTTGATGATTACATGCATCAAATTCTAACCTGTTGACGTAATTTAAAATACAACAACATCGTCATAACTAAGTTTTCAGCTTAACCTAATATTTACAAGAAACTCAATTAACATGATCTAACATGAGTAAAATCGTAAAGACCCGAAAAAAATCGTCCGAGCTCTCTCCGTCTCGCACAGAAGCACAAAAGAACCAAATATACATTTATACAAAACAGCAACAATTGACTAGATAAAATCGCGTCCCTCCCCTCTTTAAGCAACCTCGAGGTCTGAAGAGTCCTCGTCGCTGAAGTTCTGCGGCTGCAAGAGACGCTGCTGCTCGACGGTCGCCCGGCAGACGTCCTCTTCCTGGATCTTCCTCATCCTTTCCTGCTCTTCCCGCTTCTGCTTCCTCCATTTGGCCCTTCGGTTTTTGAACCAGACCTGCAAATTAAGAAGAACAATGAAACTAATTATCCTCGACGCCACTCTCAGATATTCATAAGCGCCGAAACGGAAGGGGCGTAATACAATTATGATATTTGCATCAGAATAATTCCGGTTAAGAGCCGGTTTTTCCGGAACAATGGGAACAATGCAAGCTTTTTATTCCGCGAGCCAATTGAACAAAAAAATTCATTATTTGAGCCGGCGCGGGTTGGGGCGGAGGGAGGGGATTTGCGAATATGCTTAAAAGTGCGATTTTTTTCGGGGAGGCTGGGAGGGGGCGCTCGAATGGGAGGCTGTGATTTGCTGGACGGGATTTCACCTACGTCATTGTGTACAGGTTTATACGTTCATTCAATAATGGGACCGGGTTGGTTTGAGTACTGAAAATCTGTCAAAGGTGAACACTGTAGCCAAAACCGAAAAAATAAAATATGTATCACAGCTGATTTGTTTTTAGGATGTTTTTAGTCAAGGTAGGCCATATAAATATAGTAATTTGGCTGGCAATCAATTTCGTAATACAAAAATCCCTAATGAAAAATGAAATTTATCATATTAAGTTAAGTTGTTTTTAATTTAAGGTTAGAAAATCTGCCAAAAACTGTTGCCAGTAATTTCACATTTTTGTGATTTTGTCCTAAAAAAATTGATTTTTCATACTTGCATTTGACCTTTTTACTAGAAAATGTTGGTGGCGTATCCAACTGCACTGAATGAAATGGTGCATTGTCCATAATCACCACACATTTTTTGTTCAACTCAGCCAAAGTAGAAATAAGTTGAACCACTTAATTTTGAAAGTGGCCGTCAATTGCTTTGTGATAATCTCTATCATTGTTTTTCGAATTTAATAATAATTGTAATTTAATAAGTTACAAACATGTAAAAACCCAAACTGACTTCCTGTGTGTAGGTTTGTAAATTTTGTTCCTTCATTTTTAATTTTGCTGGGATTACTTTTCAGAATTTTAGTATTATGGTCTTCTGAGGATTTAGGGATTTTGATATTTTGAGGAGTTTTGGGGATTCGAGGATTTTGGTGTTTTGCGTATTTGAGGATTTTGGTGTTTTGAGGATTTGAGTATTTTGACGTTTTGGGGATTTGAAGATTTTGATGTTTAGAGGATATGACAATTTTGGTGTTTTGAGAATTTGAGCATTTTGCTTTTTTGAAGTTTTAAGAGGAGTCACTACGTTTCTTATAGTGTTGTCAATATATTTTGAAAATGTAATATCTCCATTATTAACACACTTATTATTATGAAATTTTAAATATAACTTGTCCACAACTTTCACCATATAATATGGGAGAACAGTTTTTTTAAACAGATTATTATCAGATATTTTTTAAATTTTGTTGAAATTTTTGCATTGTCTATTTTAAAAAAATAATATTTTAGTTATTTACTTAAATCTTAGAACACGGTTTTCACGACTTTTTTCAACTTACAAAACAATATATCTGGTACGATTTCTCGAGTTTTGTAAGCTAAAAACAGTGCTGCATACCGTGTTCCGAAATTTCCTTAAATATTTGAGATATTGATTTTTAAAAATACATTATGCAAAAATTTCACTAAAATAAAAAAAAAGTATAACCACAAATTGTTTTTAACAGAACTACCCTTGCGTTATATAAAGAAAGGTATGGTCGGCTTATATCTAAAATTTCACAACCATAAGTCTGTTAATAATGGAGATAGGTATTACATTCTGAATGTGTACTGAAAATTCCATGCAGAAAACGTAGCGACTGGCCTTAAGGGTTTTGGTGTTTTAGGATCTGCGGATAATGATATTTTGAGAATTTAAAAATTTTGGTTTTTAGAGGATTTGGGGATCTTGGTGTTTTAAGCACATCTGGATTTTGATACTTTGAAAATTCTGGTGTTTTGAGAATTTGGGTATTTCAATGTTTTGACGATTTTAGAATTTTGGTGTTTTGATCATTTGAGTATTTTGGTGTTTTGATCATTTGAGTATTTTGGTGTCTTGAGAATTTTAGTATTTTGCTCTTTTGAGGATTTAAGGATTTTAATATTTTGGGGAGTTTTGGGAATTGGAGGATTTTAGCATTTTAAGCATTTTTTTGTTTTGAGAATTTTAAAATTTTGGTGTTTTGATGATTTGGGGATTTTTGTGTTTTGAAGATTTGATAATGTTGGTGTTTTGAGTATTTGAGCATTTTGGTGTTTTAGGGATTTGAGGATTTTGTTGTTTTAAGAGGATTTTAGAATTTTGGTGTTTTGATGATTTGGGGATTCTGGTGTTTTTAATATCTGATGATTTTGGTGTTTTGAGTATTTTGATGTTTTGGGCATTTGAGGATCTTGATTTTTTGGGGACACGGGAATTTTGGTGTTTTGAGGATTTGAGGATTTTGATTTTTTGAGGTTTTAAAGGTTTTGATGTTTTGAGGATTTGAGGATTTTGATATTTTAAGGATTTAAACATTTTGGTGTTTAGACGATTTGGGGATCTTGGTGTTTTAAGCATATCTGGATTTTGTTATTTTGTTGAAGATTCCGGTGTTTTGAGAATTTTGGTATTTCAATGTTTTGGGGATTTTAGAATTTTGGTGATTTGATCGTTTGAGGATTTTGGTGTTTTGAGAATTTTAGTATTTTGCTCTTTTGAGGATTTAAGGATTTTAATATTTTTGGGAATTGGAGGATTTTAGCATTTTGAGCATTTTGTTGTTTTGAGAATTTTAAAATTTTGGTGTTTTGATGATTTGGGGATTTTTGTGTTTTGAAGATTTGATAATTTTGGTGTTTTGAGTATTTGAGCATTTTGGTGTTTTAGGGATTTGAGGATTTTGTTGTTTTAAGGATTTTAGAATTTTGGTGTTTTGATGATTTGGGGATTTTGGTGTTTTGAATATCTGATGATTTTGGTGTTTTGAGTATTTTGATGTTTTGGGAATTTGAGGATCTTGATTTTTTGGGGACATGGGAATTTTGGTGTTTTGAGGATTTGAGGATTTTGATCTTTTGAAGTTTTAAGGGTTTTGGTGTTTTGAGGATTTTGATATTTTGAGGATTTAAAAATTTTGGTGTTTAGAGGTTTTGGGGAACTTGGTGTTTTAAGCATATCTTAGAATTTTGGTGTTTTGGTAACTTGGGGATTTTGGTGTTTTAAGGATTTGGTGATTTCAATGTTTCGAGAAATTGAGGATATTGATATTTTGATGATTTAAATATGTTGGTGTTTAGAAGATTTGGGGATATTGGTGTTTTAAGTATTTCTGGATTTTGATATTTTGGGGATTACGGTGTTTTGAGAATTTGGGTATTTCAACATTTTGAGGATTTTTGAATTTGGGTGTTTTGATGATTTGGGACTTTTGGTGTTTTCAGGATCTGATGATTTTGGTGTTTTGAGAATTTGAGTATTTTGATGTTTTGGGCATTTGAAGATCTTTATGTTTTGGGGATAGGGGGATTTTGGTGTTTTGAGGATTTGAGGATTTTGATCTTTTAAAAGTTTTAAGGGTTTTGGTGTTTTGAGGCTTTGCGAATTTTGATATTTTGAGGATTTAAAAATTTTGATGTTTAGAGGTTTTGGGGATGTTGGTGTTTCAAGCATATATGGATTTTGATATTTTGAAGATTTCGGTGTTTTGAGAATTTGGATATTTCAATGTTTTGAGGATTTGGGGATTTTGTTGTTTTAAGGATTTTAGAATTTTAGTGTTTTGATCAACTGGGGATTTTGGTGTATTAACGATTTGATGATTTTGTTGTTTTGAGGATTTGAGTATTTCGATGTGTTGGTGTTTTGAGGATTTAAAAATTTTGGTGTTTAGAGGATTTGGGGATATTTTTAAACATTTCTGGATTTTGATATTTTCACGATTCCGGTGTTTTGAGAATTTGAGTATTTTGATGTTTCGAGGTTTTGGGGATTTTGTTGTTTTGAGGATTTTAGAATATTGCTGTTTTGAGGCGATGACGATTTTAGAGTTTTGATAATTTGCGGATTTTGATATTTTAAGGAGTTAAAGATTTTGGTGTTTTGAGGATTTGTGGATTTTAGTGTTTTGAGGATTCGAGAATTTTGCTGTTTTAAGGATTTGGGGATTTTGGAGTTTTGAGAATTTAGGGATTTTGCTATTTTAATGATTTAAATATTTTAGTATTTTGAAGATTTGGGGATCTTGGTGTTTTAAGCATTTCCAGATTTTGATATTTTGAGGATTCCGGTGTTTGAGAATTTGGGTATTTTAATGTTTTGAAGATTTGAGGATTTTGGAGTTTTGAGAATTTGGCGATTTTGATATTTTAAGGATTTAAAGATATTGGTGTTTTGAGGATTTGTGGATTTTAGTGTTTTGAGGATTCGAGAATTTTGCTGTTTTAAGGATTTGGGGATTTTGGAGTATTGAGAATTTAGGGATTTTGCTATTTTAATGATTTAAAGATTTTTGTATTTTGAGAATTTGGGGATCTTGGTGTTTAAGCATTTCCAGATTTTGATATTTTGAGGATTTTGGCGTTTTGAGGAATTGTGGATTTTAGTGTTTTAAGGAGTCGAAAATTTTGCTGTTTTGAGGATTCGAGAATTTTGCTGGTTTGAGGATTCGAGGATTTTGGAGTTTTGGGAATTCGGGGATTCTGATATTTTAAGGATTTAAAAGATTTTGGTGTTTTGGGGATTTGGGAATTTTAGTGTTTTGAGAATTTGGGAATTTTGATGTTTTGAGGATTTGAGGATAATGGTGTTCGAGGATTTGAGGATTATGGTGTTTTGAGGACTTGAGGATTTTGGTGTTTTGAGGATTTGACGACTTTGGTGTTGTGAGGATTTGAGGACTTTGTTCACATAAAATTTTGAGACCGTTTATCTCCCTATGTTTGTAACCCTTGAGAATTTTGTAGAGGGTTGTTCGCCCCCCTTTGAATTCCAAACCCTTTCGCGAATCAGCCAAAAATGTGTCTATTGTAAAGTATTTGCAGGTCTTTTCTAAACCCATAATTTGAAAAAGTGTCAGA